ACTCCTTCATACTGACACACAGCCTGCAGCACACGGCCCTCAGAGCCCAAGCTGTTGAAGCAAGTGCCCGTGCCCCTGAAGTCCTGGTAGAAATGGCTGGACAGTCTGCTTTGCACACAGGTGACCTCCTTTAGGTCAGCTCTACACCAAACAAAGGGCACCAGCATGTAAGGGCAATCGAGTCAGTGTCAGGACCCCATCCTGTGCCCCTTCACACCTCTGGCCCCTCTGGCACAGCAGATGCATCATTGTGGAAGGAGGGCACCAAGACCTGGCATGCCTACGCCTGGCCGCCTTGTCTGGGTAGGGTGCTGGTCCTCAGTACAGCGGCGGTTGGGACACTCAGATGAGGTGCCGTGTTCACGGGAAGGTGAGAGCTGCGGTCCCGAGCTTCTGCAGCAGGCTGGGCACTGTGCTCGTGTTTCTTCTTCACGGTAGTAGTGTGAGGAAGGGTCTGTCATTACCCACCTCCACTGTAGAGAGACGATGGTTGGTTTGTTCCTTTCACTACCCCTTATCATGAATACAGGTGTATGTTAACCCTCTGTACCAGCATTTAAGTGAAAACACTTTTATTCCAGCACTGAAGAAAATAAGATTTTTAAGAAATGGAAACAGTAGCTTCGTGCCATTTCCGTCGCCCTTCGAGTGAGAGATCTGTCTGTGCAGTGACACTCCATTCATGGCCGGGCACCAGGGTGCCGTGGGTGAGGCTTCGTGTCGTCTCCACGGAAGTGGGCAGTTAGGTGAGGTTTCCCCTTAGTTTCAATGTGCCAACATTCATAATACATGATACTTATGGAGAACGAGATTACGAAGAATGTAATCCCTGCTGCACAGGAATAAAAAGAAGCAGCCTTTACATCACAGTTCATTCTGCTTTTTCTGTAAAGGAAAATGTGCATTCCGTGGGAAAGGACATCGTTGTGTTCCATTTCCACGTGCAGCGCAACTGGAGCAGACTAGTTGCGGAGAGGGCATGTGTCGGCAATGCTCGTGGACACGGCCTGGCCACGCAGAGTGGAGCTGCTTAGGCAAGGGGTTTGCATGGACAGCACTTCGTAAAGTCAGAGTCCTTGTGTTCAGAGCATTTGACAGCCTCTGAAGATGCCTTGTTTTGATTTGGATTTCTATACCCTGGATTTCTTAAAGTGAGACTGTCAGCTTAGCTGGTAATAGCAGAGGTTTTTACTTAAAACTAAGCAAACATTTCATGTGTATGTGGGTTTTGAGGAGTGACGGCTGTGGTTTTCATGAGATGGTAAAAGGTGATCTTTGACTCCATCCAAAAAAGAAGGCCTGAGACTTGCTGGTGGGCACACTGCTGGGCTCCTGGGCTCTGGGCGCTTCTCCCTCCCGGGTGCGCCCTTGGCCAGCCGCGCCGCACACAGGCGGGCAGCCTGGAGCCTGGGTCACGTCCTGCCTGAGGAGAGGATTGGCGGGGCCACCGGCCCCTGTCGCGAGAGGAGCTGGGTGGTTTCCATCTGTGACAGGCGGTTGGCTGCTATCCTGTGCCAGGCAGTGTTCCCGCCAAATTGACGTCCCCCTAGAGCCTGTGAATGTGACCCTGTTTGGAAGTGGAATGGCTGTAGCTGTAACCCAGTTGGGAAGAGGTCCTGCTGGGTGTGGGCAGGCCCTAAGCCAGTGATTGGTGCCTTAGGGAAAGAAGGACGTTTGGGCACAGAACGTGGAGAGTGCCACGTGACGACGGAGACAGCCAAGGAGAGCCAGGCGTCACAGGACCTGCAGAAGCTGGACGGGCCCAGGAAGACGCTTCCCTGGGAGCACCGGGGTGTGGTCCTGCCAGCACCTTGACTTTGGACCTAAGCCTCCATGAGTAAATTTGTGAATAAATTGTTGTTTTAAACCACCCAGTTTGTAGTAGCTTAAACTAATATAGTTGCTAATCACATAAATACAAAAAAAAAAGTAAAATAAGCAAATGAGCAGGTTATTGTTTTCTTCAGTGAAAGAAGCCCGGAGGTAAGCAGTCCGAGCAGGTGGCACAACTCCGAGGTGTGCCCCATGCCCAGGCTTCTGCCCACAGTCCCGGAGCTGGGCTCCTCGTCTGCAGGTCTGCGAGGGGCCTCGTGGAGCCCCTGCCAGCACCAGGCAGCAGCGGGGAGAGGACAGGCCCTAAGGCACACACTGTGTCCATCCCCCCGAGGCCCTGCCCAGCAGCTCCATCCAGGGGCTTCTGTTACACCTCACGGGCCAGAGCTGTGTCATGTGACCCATCTTGGTGAAGGGGCTGTGCACAGTGCTGCCCCGATGAGACCTGGAGCATGGGTGAGGAGGGGTGCGGTACAGGTGGGATCGCCCACCGGCAGCTCCGCCACGAGGCCTCTGGAACATGGGGCGTCATCCCGTGCAGACCTGTCGTGAAGGACAAGCCTTGTTCCCTCCCAGTTCACTCATTCCTTCCGCCTTCACCCCTTCTCCGCTTTCAGCCTGTTCCCACAGCATCACCACACGTCTCTGGGCAGGCTCTCAGCAAAGCCAGGCATCCAAGGGAGGGTGTCTGGGCTGCTTGCCTCGTGGGATCTTTAGGCAACGTGGCCGGTATGGTTTTGTAAGGTCTCAGGTCGACACTGATGCTCTGTAGTGAATCTATGTACCTCAGCGCAGGTGTGTGGAAACCTTGTTCTGAGTTCCTTCCCCTGAGGCAGTGCAAGGCGTAAACTGCAGGGTGCCCATTCCGTCTGGACGAGGCCCAGTTTCTCCACTCCATCTCTTCTTGCCAGGACGGCGCACATGTATCCTAGGGGGGCCTCTGAGCGTCTGGGTCCTTGCTGGCCTCTAAGGAAAGCTCTGTTCCTGCATATTTCTGGGCCTTTGCCCCCATTGGAGCCCCTGACTTTCCTGTCAGCCTGTAGCCTGTGACCCTACATGTCTCTGGTCCTTGCTGCTGACCCTGAGCCCCACCACTACTTGGCGGGTAGGGACTAGGCTATTTGGCCAAACGCTTTGGCTTCCAGAGCAGACTAGCAAAGGGGCAGGCAGGACACATCACACTTGGGTTTTTCAGATTTCCTCTTTCCCTGGCCCCCCTGATTTTCTGGGTCTGGCCTCCCGGGGCCTCCCCTCCATTAGTTTCTTGGACCCTGGAAGGTCCCCCTGCTTCCTACAGATGTCCTAGATTCCTGCTTCTGTTGGTTGAGCTTCCTCTCAGAGTGTGGGAGCTGTCCCCTGCTGGCCCTGCTGAAACGGCAGGAGCTGGGAAACCCGTCCCACCTTCAGCTAGCTCACTGGGGCAGAACCCACTGCCCTGCCCGGCCACCCAGGGCGCCATGCTCCCGGCAGCCCTCTGGTCCTGCCTCCAAGCATAGCAGTCACAGAGACAAAAGGAGCCTTTTCTCACTCCTCTTGAAGACCTACAGAACTGTTTCTTGTTAATTTTCTGCAGTTGGTTGTCATTAATGTCTTGTTGAGTGGATTTTGTGTGTTTTTTATTGAGAGAGAACAAATTGTTATAGGCTTTTAAGGAAACCAGAAACATTCGCTCTCTAATTATATCTGTTCTTCCATTCCCGTTCATCTTGCTTTCTCGTTGGGAGCAGGCCTTTCTGTTCGTCTGGAACTGCAGGCACGTTTCCCGAATAAATAAGAGCTGCTGTTTTCTGCTGCAGTGTGTACGGCGACTTGTCGGCACGGTTTAGACTCGCTCTTACTGAAGACGCCAGGGAATTGCAGGGGGCTCCTGGGCGGCATCGGGCCTCGTCCTCGGCCGGACATGCTTCGGGAAAGGTGTAGAAGAGCAGGGTTTTGAAATGCAGGTTCCAGGAGTGTTTTCCATGTGTGTCCCTTTGTTCAGTCAGTAAATAGCTACTGTGTACGTGAACACCAGGCATCATTCTAAAGGCTGGGAGCTTCTGTCCTACTGGGGAGATGGACGACAGCTAAACCAGCAAACGTGTAATGTCGGGTGTGACAAGTGCTTATTATCAGCATAGTAAAAGACGACTCAGTAGGGACTGGAGAGTGACCTGGGCGACGTTCGTTTGGGTGGGCAGGAAGACTGCCCCGAGGAGGCCACCCGGGAGCAGGGGACTGGGCAGTGAGGCGGGTGGGCTGCATGGCTGTGCGGGCAGGGCCCCGGGCCCTGGAACAGCGGCTGGCTCTGCCTCTCCCCGTGGCGGCGGAGAGCAGGCTCCGAGTGACGTCGAGCTCTGCTGGGGGCGCACAGAACCAAGGAGGCGCAAGGAGAGAATGGCTAAGAGTGTGGCATGTGCAGCCACAGGGTGTGTTTTAAGGCCACAGAAACTAAGAGGGCAGTTGTTAATGGAGGGTGAGCCTGTTGAAGTGATTCTCAGATTGGTGGGATATCAGTATCTTTTTTCAAGTGTGTTTTACACACACACACACACACACACATACACGGTCCTGCACAGCCCCGAGGAGAGGGCTCTCACTCCGATACCTCGGGTCAGGTCTGGACAGAAGGACGTCTCAGGGCGAGGCCAAGCCTCCGGGAGGGCCGAGAGCCAGCTCCTGTGGAGACCTGGGTGATGTCGTGCTGACCCCATCGGCTTCACCCAGTGACAACCTGTAGTGCCAGGAGTTGTCCTTTCACTGTTACCATTATGTTGAGTTGACAGTATGCTTTACTGCAAATCCTTGAAGGCGGAGTTTATGTTCATTTCGGTCACCTGGGAGGAACTGGTCTTTAGAGCTGAGGTGAGTTAACTCACTGAGCTGGGAGGCCGTGCTGGAGGCCCAGGTGAAACCCTTCCTCCTGAGCTCGGCTGAGCCTGGTGCGCCCCACACGGCGGGTCAGCGGGCGTTGCCTGGTCCCCTGTGGAGGTGGACACACATCTGTCTTCACAGGAAGGCGCTCCCGCTGCTCCAGCACCGGCCCCCCTGCAGTCGGCAGTGGCCTTGGTGGGCACGGTTGCTGTGGAATTTGGCAGAGAAATTCCCAAGCTTGTCTGAAGTTAGGTTGGCAGCAGAGAAGTTGTGCTCGGAGCATTAGTGATAAAATGTCGTTCTTCTATTTTCAGTAAATATTCAAGACGTGATATTACAAGAAAATTTGGAAAAAGAAGATCAAATTCTGGTGTCCCTGGCAGGATTAAAACAGGTATGTCCAGGATCTGACCTTGTGTGCCACAAGCCTCCATTCCGTGCCTGCTGGGGAGGGCGCCCTCGGGCATGAGCAGCATGGCGCCAGAGCCTGCCCCTGCCCCTCGCTTCCTCCAGAGCCCCTCCGGGCCCACCTTCCTGTGCCTCTTGCTCCTTCTGGTGATCGCGTCTGACCAGCCTGCAGCCCAAACCGGTTTTCCATTCCCCACCCCTATCCCTTCCTCTCACCAAACCCATTGTTTGTCCCCCACCCCATGTTCAATCACATCCCTAAACACCAATGTCCCTGGAGCACAAGTCATAATCATCGCCTGCAGCAGGCCCTCAAAGGCTACATTTGAATGACCCTTAAAGGGCCACGTGGAACATAAATGTCAGTGAAAACAGTGTGCTGCTCTCGAATGCCTGCCTGTGTCACCAACAGCTCAGCCGGCATGAGTGGAGCATGTTGGAAGCCTAGTGCCATGGGGGGGGGGGGGGGGGGCTGGGAGTGCAGGCAGAGGGCGCTTCCTGCCAAGGAGTGACACCTGTGTCTGACCCTGGAGCACCTGGCCACTAAGACTCATACATTTTCCTTGGTCGCTGATAAGTCAGTGGCTTTGATAGAGTTGGATTTTCCTCTGCTATTTCTTTCTTTATCATTATTATTATTATTATTTTTTTTTTATCCTCACCCAAGGACATTTTTCCATTTTTTGTTCAGATAGAGTGGGAGGGAGAGAGAGAGAGAGAGAAACATCGACGTGAAAGGGACACATCAAGTGGCTGCCACCCGCACAAGCCAACCAGGGCTGGGGACAAACTGCAACCAAGGTACGTGCCCTAGCGGGAACTGAACCCCGTCTCTCTGGACCACAGGCCGATGCTCTAACCACTGAGCCAAACCGGCCAAACCTGCTATTTCTTTCTTACAGTAATGTATCGATATCCATACTATAAAAAAATTACCGCCCTGGCCGGTTTGGCTCAGCGGTTAGAGCGTCGGCCTGCGGTCCTGAGAGACCCGGGTTTGGTTCCCGCTAAGGGCATGTACCTCGGCTGCAGTTTGTCCCCGGCCCTTGTCGGTTGTGCGGGTGGCAGCCACTCGATGTGTTCCTTTCACATCGATGTTTCTCTCTCTCTCTCTGTTTCTCTCTCTCCCTCCCACTCTACCTGAACAAAAAATGGAAAAATGTCCTCGGGTGAGGATAAAAAAAAAAAAAAAAATTACCAATGGCAAGTCTAGTTTAAAGGTATGAGAGATTTAGGTAGCATTTTAAAAACAAACTCATTTATCTTTTTCATTTATTTTCTTCTCCTTAAAAATAGGTCAAAGACATTCTGAAAGGTTCCCTGCATTTCAACCAGAGCCAGCTGGAAGCTGAGGAGAATGAGCAGATCACCATCTCAGACGACCACTACTGCTCCAGCGGTCAGAGCCCAGGCCAGGGCCACAGTGACCAGATGCCCGGGGCCACCAAGCAGGTACAGAGCTCTGAGGAACAGCGTCACTCTGATGGCGGCCCAGGCACATGGTTCTTCAAAGTTACGACAATGAAAGTCTAGGTCACCATGGGTGAGGTCCAGCGGTGGGTACAGGTGGCCTGGGCCCGGGTGCTCTGGGACTGCAGGCTGCATACTCAGAGCCCTGGGGCGGGGCCTTCACAGCCCTGGTGGTCAGCCCCCAGCCCCCCGAGCTGGGCAGTGCACGGCCTCCACACCTTCCCGCAGCGGCCTGGGCCAGAACCTCCCGCCAGCCCCACTGTGCGGGAGTAGAAAGCTGGGTCTCTGCCCCAGGGGTCGGGCGGTTGTCTCCAGCTGGTGCACCGTCCTTGCTTTCCTAGCGCTGTCTCGAGGTATCACTCAGGTAGCACCCTTTCGCCTTCATGGGGAAGGACGTCTCATTCTCATTGATGCCCATCCGCTGAGGCAGGGACGTCAGCAACCTTTTCTGTAAAAGACCAGATGGAAAGCATTTTAGGGTTGCAGGCCACATATGGCCACTGGCGTATATTTGTTTTTGTGTTTGGTGTGTTTTATTTATTTATTTGTTTGTTTTAACAAACCTTTAAAAATGCATAAGACATTCGCAGCTTGAAAGCAACACAGGTCGCAGGCCAGATCTGGCCCGTGGGCTGTGACGTGCTGACTCTGCTCTCAGGTGTCGACGTTGCATATAATTTATTCTAACATAAAGTCACAGACTTTTCCAGTGAGAAAAGATGTAACAGGCTCCTCGTGCACTTAGTGCTGCCTGCTTGTTTCACCAGCGAGAACACGAGGCCTGAGAGGCACAGGCTCAGCAGACAGTGCCCGCAGAGCGCGTCCCCTGCCCCAGCCCCCCTCCTCACCGCCTCCCTGCAGGGCGCGCCCCCTGCCCCAGCCCCCCTCCTCACCACCTCCCTGCAGGGCGCGCCCCCTGCCCCAGCCCCCCTCCTCACGGCCTCCCTGCAGGGCGCGTCCCCTGCCCCAGCCCCCCTCCTCACGGCCTCCCTGCAGGGCGCGCCCCCTGCCCCAGCCCCCCTCCTCACCGCCTCCCTGCAGGGCGCGGCCCCGGCCCCAGCCCCCCTCCTCACCGCCTCCCTGCACCTTATCTGCTAGGATGAATCATTCCTAACTATTCTTGTTAAATGGCTTTCAGAGTTTTATCTTGAAAAATGAACATTAGCAATATCTCCTCTAAGTCACTTTCTCAAAAAGTAGCATCCAGATGCTTGTAAATTATTTTCTTTTACGACTTAAAGAAGCAAAATGATATTTTAAAATGAGAGGTGTGTTTTTAGTTTTTAGAGTACCCTTCAAGTAGAAGGGTGTGGTTCATTTTCTCCAGCTTCAAAAGGAAGTTTTCATGGAGCATTTGGAGCCTGCATTTTAGCCACACGAATACATTAAAACTGCAAGTTTAACTTGATTAGTTCCTCCTAATGCTCATTCCCTGCACAGATGTTTAATTTTTCAATTATCACTTATTTATTCAAATATTGTTGAGCCCCAGCCATTTTTAATTGAGAATTTTATTGGAAAACTTAGCATGACTCTTCTAGTTGAATGTGTGAAAACCCTACAGAGAGCGACCTCACGTAGCGCGGGGTGGGTGCTCCCCTGCCAGGCCGCTGTGGAACCTCCTTGGTGGGACCATGGCTTCACTTCCATCCCAGGGGACACAGGAGCTTCTCCGGTCTCAGCTCGGAACCTTGACTGATATCAGTTCATGAATGTCATCTTTAGTTAAAAAACTAAATGTTAGTCATAATTGCCTAGAAAGAAAGGAAAATAATTGCAGAGCAATTCCATCTCTATGGTCTTGCGCATCCACATTGCAGTAATTACCATTCCTGGATTTTGTGTTTGTGGAATCTACCATTTAGCACCCCCGTCCCAGGCCCCAGGTGCATGCCCAGGAGGCACAGGCTGGGAGACCCCGATGAGGCTGTTCTCTGAGCACCCAGTGCATCACTCCGCATCTGTGGCTTACATTAGGGAGCCGGTCCTGCGCACCTCTCATGGCGCCCATCCTCTCACCACATGGTGACACTCACTGGGACCAAGACCCCACCCTTAGCCCCACTTCCCGGGTGAGAGCATACAAATCTGAGGCGGTGAAGTGACGGGGATTCTCTCCACTGGCTGCCTCCCAGTAACTTGTGAATCGAATCGGGAGGTTTACTTTGTTTCCCTGGGAAACCAGCATTTGGCTTCAGAGGAGCTGGCCCTGCTCCCCTGGGAAGCTCCTGGGCTTCGGGGGAGCAGGCCGAACTGGCATCCTTCCGAGGAAGAGCTGGGCGAGGTGGCCCAGTCTTCTGTGGAGCACTCCCCAGCTCCTGGGCCTGTGCTCAGTTCTCTCTGTTTACTGATGTCCTCTCTCATCCCTGCACTTCCGACTGTCCTTCACAGGCCTCTTCGGACACGTGCGGGCACGCAGACAAAGGGAGCTCAGATGACTTCATCCTGGTTTCTAAAGAGGACGGGGGAGGCGGTGCCAGGGCGCCCTTCCCCAGCCAGGCCCAGCCCCTTCGCACCCTCAGAAGCACAGCTGGGAAAGGTGAGGGCCTGAGCCGCTTCCCACTGGTCTTCTCCGACCCGCTGACGGGCCTGGCCTCAGCTTCCTCCAGCAACGCCAGCTCCAGCCCCGACGACGACAGCAGCGGCAACAGCAAGGACTCGGGCTTCACCATCGTGAGCCCCTTGGATATCTGACCGCAGAGCCCAGGCCTTCCCCCCTGCAGCCTCAAGGCCCAATGCAGGCTCCCCAGCAAAGCCCCCCCTGAAACCTGCGCTTCCTTCCCAGCATGCATGTGGCATCAGAGCCGCCCATCAGAACCCTCCAGGGAAAAGCAAACAGGACCACAGAGCACAGACTGATGGCCACCAAAATGCTTTTCGGGTCCCTCCCTAACCCGCCCCGCCCTCTGTCTGAGGTGAAGCTGGGCCAGGTGCGCAGTGTCAGCCCCTGTCAGAAAAGACCGGACCACAGCTAGAGCGACTTTTTCTCTGTCCTCTGCTCCCTAACTGAGCAGGTGTGGCAACTCCGTCAGTTACACCGGAAGAGGGAAGAAGAGCTGGTTTCAGGCCTTCTCCCCCCCCCCCCCCGGGCTCAGGTGCAGGAAAAGCGATCCACACCAAGACGTCCTCTCTGGAAATCTGTCTGCACCAACATCATCTCTCCCTGGGGAAGTCGTGGCAAAGCCAGACGCACAGGAAGGGCTGTGGAGTCCAGGCTGGAGCCCGTCACTGACCGCCCAGAAAGTTAGTGATCTTCAGAAACGGGTCTGAACTTGGGCCTCATTTTGGTGTGATGGCGTTTAGATTTCTTCACTTGTTAAAGGATATGGTTCCAGGCCTGAGTCCAGACCACTCGGCCATCCCTGCTCCTCCTTAAACAGTCATGTCAGACTCTTTCAGGCCAGAAAACAAGGTCACTTTCAGCAGGCCTTGCGCGGGGGCTGGTTCTGTGGGCGTCTCTGAGACAGCGAGGCCGCTGGGCAGGGGAGGCCCCCTGGCAGCAGCTGCGTGTGGAAGACCAGGCCCTTCCGCCGCTGCCCCGGCTTCCCGTGGCTCCTCTGAAGGCGTGACGACGCAGGCCCGCGCTCTCCAGGAGCAGGTGGTGACTCGGGTCAGCCTCCAGTTAGTTCCACAATTAGTTCTTAAACTCCAGCAGGGAAATCTCCCCCCAGCACACCAGGGGGAAGGTGAATGGTAACTGGTTTGGTCAAGATGTGCAGATTAGCTCTGGCAGACCTGAGTGGCCCCTCGGATCCCTGCTGGGCGTCACTGCCTCGGTTTCTGGGAGCACGTGTCCCCTTGACCATACGTCGTAAGCTCCCGAGGTCCCTGCAGCGCATGGCCTTGCGCTGTGCAGGAGTTTCATCACTTTCTCTCAAAGGACTGGCTTGGGAAGATTCCAGAAGTGTGGAGCTGCCCCCGGACAGACGGAGGGGCCGTGGAGCTGGCTGTCCTGGCGGCAGGGCCACCGTCCTCTGCTTACTCAGCATTTCCCTCGCCCTGAGAGCCAGAGTCGTGACAGCGGTCACTGGCCCCCAGCAGCCCCCAGGCACCCCTCCCACCAGGCTGTAGGCTAGCCCCCTGCATCGAGGTCACGGGACCCCAGCCCTGCCAGCATGTGGGGCGGCTCCCCCCTTCTGCACATCCATGTTGGTGCCACAGGAGAAGCAGAGAGTCCCTCAGAGGTACTGCTGTGGCCCAGCAGGCTGCTCACCCCACGAGGGGTGATGGGCCCCGACATAGCCACCCCCCAACTCCCACAAATCCGTGCAGTATGAGAGTTGAATTATTATTGTCTTACCTTTTTTAAGTGACTTGTTTTTGTTCTTCATCATTGAGCATTTTTATTAGTTACAGTGCTATTAAAGAATTTATGTTCCTTTTTATTATGTTATCAGGTACTTATGCATAACGGCACAATTTTAAAATCCCAAATATGTATTTTTTCTTTAACAAATGTGGTAATCATTGGAACCCTCTTGTGTTTTGATTATTAGCAGTTAAATCTTATATATGTAAAGCTTAGATGTGTTCTCATTGTCATCTTTTTTATACATGTCCCTGTGTTCATGCATTCCTCTCTGATCCGTTGGGGAATTTGAGTTAAATTATGTATGTACATTACCTATGAGAGTTGCAGATTGGAGAAAGGGAGTCATGTGACTGCCTCACCTGTGTGTGCCAAGGGGTCACATAACACTCGAAACGTTTGGTTACTGGATTCTTCTCCAGAGATGACCTCCTGCTAACACTGCTAACCGCAATCTAAGAGAGAATGTCGCTGCAGAATTATGTGACATAAATCGACTCTGGACTGACAATGAACCGAGACCTCCTGGGATTTGCTCCCCGCCTGAGACTGAGTTGAATCTTGCACATCATTCCTTGCAGGGTGGGGGGTGACTGTTGAAGCCCAGTTATACAATTCTATGGCGGTTCTGTTGCCTCCTAATAGCCTGCCAGAGTTGATCCAAATTTATTCCAATTTCTATTTTATTGCTTCTTTTAGAAGCTGCCCCAGGGGTCATTACAGAGCCAGAGTGATGGAGGACTTACCCCCCACCCACTCGGGGTGGCTGTCTGTGGAGCCCCAGGGCCGCGCGTCCTCCCGCCCCGCCCTGCGTCCCAGGCCAGGGAGCTGGGGCAGGAGGCGGCGGGGTGAGCGAGGGCGGCATCTGGAGAGCCCGGCGTCCTCTCTCGGGCCAAACCCGCTTCCTCCGTGTTCCTTTCAGATCTCTTTTTATAATGTTAAAAAGAAATATAAAGTTCCTATAAACAGGCTTGAAACCACTTCGATGTAGAAGCTGTCGTGATGATTGTTCTCACAGGGCACAGCTCACTTGGTTTCTGGAGTACCAGCCGCGGGCTGTCCGCCACGGTTCTCGGGTCTGCGCTGTAGCTCCACCAGCTGGGGAGGCTCCTGGGGCAGATGCCTTCCAGCCGTTCTAGTAAAAGACTGATGGGAACCCCGCATAGCTCCACTTGTTCGTTGGGGGGGTCCCAAGGTGCCGGTGCACAGGGGGCGTCAGCACACCCCGCATGGGCCACGGCCTGCCCGCCACCCCCTTCCGCTCCAGTCTAGACAAGTCCCTTAACCGCCGGCCGTGGTTTCTCTGCGGAAGGGATGGCACTGATAGTGAGCACTCCCTTCCCGGGGCGGGCGAGGGCCGTGGGCCGTGGGCCATGGGCTGTGGAGGGCAGGCTAAGCACGGGGAAGATGGCCGGTAGACGAGGCCTAATACCGAAAGAGCCCGGGGCCTCGCAGCCCCACCCAGGGCTGTGTCCACCCCGGGCCGGGCAGCAGCTCCCAGCCTGCTGGCCCAGGGCCATTTAGGGGGTGGCCCCGACAGCTTGCCATCTCCGCACCCCTCCCTGTCCAGTTCACCTGGGTGGCCTTGCTGACACCCAACTAACATGAGATTTGGTGAAGAGGCCATGGGGTGGGGGTAGAGTGACTCCACGTCCTAAATGACAAACTAGGAAGGGTAGGGGCTCTTCCCAGCTCCGAGGGGCTGGGAGGCCAGTGGCTCCTGAGAGTCTGCTGAGCGTCCCTGACAGGCCTCTGTCCTGGGCCCGGCAATTGGGGGCTGCCCCACCAAGGGACTTTATTAACCACAGGCTTCGCACGGAAAGCCAGAGCCTGGCACACTTCTCAGAGGGCTCCTGCTGGCAGCGGTGACCCTGCCCCCCCGCCCAGTGACCACACACTGGCACGCCCCACTGCACATGGCCGGGAGCATAGACCCCCGAGGAGACATGTGTGCCTTGCGAGACCCCGTTGGAACTGCTGCCGTCCTCCTGCCCCACCCGAACCTCTTCACCCACAGCTGTCCCCAGGCCCCAGAAAGCCGTTCCGCTGGGTTATCACTGGTGTGGACACTTCAAGGGGGTGCAACCTGAGGCTGAGGAGGTGAGTGTGCTGGCCTCCCTGCAGGCCTCAGTCCAGCTCTCGTCCCCTGACTCCCTTCCCCACTCCGCTGCTGCGTGTCCTCCGCCCACACCAACAGCCACAGTGCCAGGCATTGTGGCTGCATCTCAAATGACCCAAAACTTGGTGGCATAAAGCAATCATTTACTATGCTCATGGGCTGTGGGCCGGGAATACAGATAGAACGTGGTTGGGATAGTTGATCACCGGTGCCTCTGAGGTCTGGGGCCTTGGTTGGAAGACTCAAAGGCTGGAGGCTGGAATTCCCCGAAGGTGGGTCACTCAGATTTCTGACGGTGCATGCAGAGACCTTAGCTTGGACTGTCAACTGGAACACATACAAGAGGCTTCTTCGTGTGGTCTGGGCTTCCTTGCAACATGGTGCCTGGGGGGGAGAGAAAGAGAGAGAGTTCATTCTAGAGGCACATTGATACTGGAAGTGTTCCCATGGCCACTTTAGGAGAATACACTCTGCCATGCCCATCGCCTAGGGAGCCAGACGAGGGCTCGGCCGTGCTGTGGCGGCCAGTCAGGCTGCTCCGGCCACACTGGGCCACACTGGAGGAGAGCAAACAGGTGCCGTGTCTGCCTCCAGTGCTTGTAGCTCCTCCCTCCTCCTCCAGGAAGGCTTCTGGATGGTGTCAGAGCACAGCCCCAAACTGTTTGACACTCCTCCCAGCAAGAGCCCCTTGCGTCTTGAATCTGTGACTTCGGTAAAATATAGAGTACATGATAAAATGCCAGTTTCTGGGCCCACACTTTAGAAAGATCAGCAGCTTCTACTTCCTGCCTGTGGTACACTCACTCTTGGAACCCAGTCGCCATGCTGCAAGGAAGCCCAAGCAGTTCTGTGGGGCGGCCTGTGGGAGCCAGCAGCCAGGACCGACTGAGTGAGCCATCTGAGAAGTGGATCCTTGGGCCCGTGGACCCTGTGTGGAGCAGAGATAAGGTGTACCTGCCGAGCCCCTCCCAAGTGACAGAATCGAGAGCGAACGAAATGACCGTTGTTTGAAGCCAGTCAGTTCTGGGCTGAGCAGTGAAGCAGCAATGGGTAACTTTTCCTGATGCCCTGACCAGCAGGACTCCGCTCCTCTGAACTCCCTCATCCAAGTCCGGAATTCTCATTTCCCTCCTTCAAAAGAGGGGCTGAGCTTGAGCTGTTCATTCATCCATATTTATTGAGCACTTACTATGTTCTAGGGGCTGGATGCATGCAGTGAACAAGATAGGTAAGATCCCTGTCTTCAGGGAGCTTGCAGTCGTGGGGAGAAAGGTAAGCCTT